CTATGAAGTAATATCGATGTATGAAGTCAATATGACCTGGATCTACCGGCGAATTATTGGAATTGGAGATAGCTGTGTTGTGCGTGCCGGCGTTCTCTCGCCCTTTACATTATAATTAAGCACGCGGCCGTGTGAAGCGCTGCAGTTTTAATGTGTACGTACAGTGGCTGGGCTGGCGTTTTGATTGGAAAAGTCGGCAAAATACAGGTAGCGCTTTTTATCTATCGTGTTTATACTGCTGATTCACTGTGTTACAATTCTTTCTCGTTGTGCTATACATAATATATATATATATATATATATATATATATATATATATATATATATATATATATATATATATATATATATAGGCCTATATATATATATATATAATTGTATACATTAAATATATATATATGTATGTATGTATGTATGTATGTATGTATATAAATGTATCTGTGTATGTATGTAGGTGTGTGTACATGTTTAACATCACACACTTCACAATTATTTAGATTGATAATGTAAAAATAAGCGATTATGACAAGGTTTCGAAAGAAGGGATTATGATCATAACTAGGGGAGCTCATCTTTGAATACCAAGGGGAACGACTCTATTATTTCAGGGGAAGACAATGGACATCTTCCTTGTCCATATTAAAATTATTAAGAGTATAACTAGTGTTAAATAGCAGCCGCTATAATTAGCTTTTTTTTTTTAGAAACGATAGGCCTAGCTAGACTATTAAACTAGGATGGTGTTGTGTGTTGAACTGAAATAAATACCTTCTTTTGGCGGGGGCTGGTGGGGAGACAGTAAAAATATCCGTTTTGTCACTCCTTTATTATTACTATATTTAAATACAGTTTAGTTAGGCGGATGGGAAATTATATATGTATGAGCCATCTTCACTCGTCGTGACAAAACTTGAATAAGTTCTCACTCAGACAGCTGATTAGCTTTCATGAGTTGTAATGCATATAAGTACGAGAGAGAAGGTTGGGATGGAAGGAGAGCATGACTTGATTGAAACAAAACGAGAGAGAAGGTTGGGATGGAAGGAGAGCATGACTTGATTGAAACAAAACGAGAGAGAAGATTGGGATGGAAGGAGAGCATGACTTGATTGAAACAAAACGAGAGAGAAGGTTGGGATGGAAGGAGAGCATGACTTGATTGAAACAAAACGAGAGAGAAGATTGGGATGGAAGGAGAGCATGACTTGATTGAAACAAAACGAGAGAGAAGATTGGGATGGAAGGAGAGCATGACTTGATTGAAACAAAACGAGAGAGAAGATTGGGGTGGAAGGAGAGCATGACTTGATAGAAAAAAACGAGAGAGAAGATTGGGATGGAAGGAGAGCATGACTTGATTGAAACAAAACGAGAGAGAAGATTGGGATGGAAGGAGAGCATGACTTGATTGAAACAAAACAACGTGTCCAACTGACTGGTACTGACAGCTAAATATTTGTGTCCCTACTGCCAGTATGGAATGTCATGAATGGGGTTAAAACAACACGAGCTGCATGATACTGTATCCTGGGGTTAGATCAGGGGAGAAGGATGCTCCTTAATAGCTGGTGCTCCTTAATGGCTGGGACTGGTGCTTCTTAATGGCTGGTGCTCCTTAATGGCTGGGACTGGTGCTCCTTAATGGCTGGGACTGGTGCTCCTTAATAGCTGGTGCTCCTTAATGGCTGGTGCTCCTTAATGGCTGGTGCTCCTTAATGACTGGTGCTCCTTAATGGCTGGGACTGGTGCTCCTTAATGGCTGGGACTGGTGCTCCTTAATAGCTGGTGCTCCTTAATGGCTGGTGCTCCTTAATGGCTGGTGCTCCTTAATGGCTGGTGCTCCTTAATGGCTGGTGCTCCTTAATGACTGGTGCTCCTTAATGGCTGGTGCTCCTTAATGACTGGTGCTCCTTAATGGCTGGTGCTCCTTAATGACTGGTGTTCCTTAATGGCTGGGACTGGTGCTCCTTAATGGCTGGTGCTCCTTCATGGCTGGTGCTCCTTCATGGCTGGGACTGGTGCTCCTTAATGGCTAGGACTGGTGCTCCTTAATGGCTGGGACTGGTGCTCCTTAATGGCTGGGACTGGTGCTCCTTAATGGCTGGTGCTCCTTAATGGCTGGGACTGGTGCTCCTTAATGGCTGGGACTGGTGCTCCTTAATGGCTGGTGCTCCTTAATGGCTGGTGCTCCTTCATGGCTAGGACTGGTGCTCCTTAATGGCTGGTGCTCCTTAATGGCTGGGACTGGTGCTCCTTAATGGCTGGTGCTCCTTAATGGCTGGGACTGGTGCTCCTTAATGGCTGGTGCTCCTTAATGGCTGGTGCTCCTTAATGGCTGGTGCTCCTTAATGGCTGGTGCTCCTTAATGGCTGGTGCTCCTTAATGACTGGTGCTCCTTAATGGCTGGTGCTCCTTAATGGCTGGGACTGGTGCTCCTTAATGGCTGGTGCTCCTTAATGGCTGGTGCTCCTTAATGGCTGGTGCTCCTTAATGGCTGGTGCTCCTTCATGGCTAGGACTGGTGGTCCTTAATGGCTGGGACTGGTGCTCCTTAATGGCTGGGACTGGTGCTCCTTAATGGCTGGTGGTCCTTAATGGCTGGGACTGGTGCTCCTTAATGGCTGGTGCTCCTTAATGGCTGGGACTGGTGCTCCTTAATGGCTAGGACTGGTGGTCCTTAATGGCTGGGACTGGTGGTAGTGATGAATTTAGTGATGAATACTATGGCACTCACCTGCTTCCCCCCCCCCCCCGCCCCCACTCCCAGCCTATACACCAAGTCTGCACTATGCTACCCCCTATGGTACTGACCTGCTCCCCCAACCCTAGCCTATACACCAAGTCTGCACTATGCTACCCCCTATGGCACTCACTGAATGCCTCTAGTTGCTGGCCTGTGCAACACTCAACAACAGCTAGAAAAACAATCCTGCCTGTCATCAACTACACTGTTTGTAAAGTCTACAAAATAAACATATTTTAATGACTTCCTGTAATTGATAGATACACACAAAAAGTGTTAACCTTTAAATAATGGGAGATAATTTCACTCACAAGCACTGACTGAACAGAAAACTGTGTTGTGCTATCATTTTTGATGCACAAGTTTGTTTTCATTATAACAAAACTAATTAAACGTTGCATTCAATGTGTTCATTTAGTCTGGGATTGTTTGGATATTTTTATGTTGATAAAAACCTGTCTTTGGCATGGCTTATTTTTAAAACTTGATCAGGATAAAATAGTATAGGAATTTAAAACTAGACCATTTATATTACTTTATTAGACTAACATGTCATTCAGCATTCAACTAAATCAGGCATATGACATCCAGTATACAGCTAAATCAGGCATATGACATCCAGCATACTAGACCAGGCATATGACATCTAGCTGCATCAAGTGCTGTATTAGGCCTATAACATTGTATTAAAACACCTAATGCAGCATAAAGTGCTGTATCAGGCCTATAATGTGGTATTAAAACACCTAATGCAGCATAAAGTGCTATATCAGGCCTATAATATTGTATTAAAACACCTAATGCAGCATAAAGTACTGTATCAGGCCTATAACATGGTATTAAAACACCTAATGCAGCAGAAAATTGTTCACACATGATGTGATGTCTGGGCATGTTTAGCTGGTTAATTAAGACATGCTTACATACACATGATATATGGAGACCTCCACTTAAGAATTTTGGGTTAGTTAACATATGTTCTATCATGCCACCCTATATACTGTCATGTCTACTATATACTGCCATGCTCACTCTATATTTCCCTACCCTCAATATATTATACTGTTCACAGTGTATTTACCCACAAAATTGTTCTGTCCACTCAATTGCTATACCCACTAAATTGTTCTGTCCACTCAATTGCTATACCCACTAAATTGTTCTGTCCACTCTAATGCTATACCCACTAAATTGTTCTGTCCACCACTATTTAACCAACATGAGGGTGTATAGAGAGAAAAAAAATGTTGACAATACGTCCACCATACGCCGTCCACCATAGGTGTACCAGCAGCCTCTTGGATAAACTGCTGCTCTACTTATTAGCACATAAAATGCCTGGTCTCTTATCTGACATAAACACAACAAACATTCATTGCCTACAGGCTTGCAACAAGGGCTGTTGTAATTGTAACTTTTTTCTAGTTTTCTCAGCCCTGCTGTACTTTAGCCCAGCTAAAGTAGTTTTGGGGCATTTGAAGATATTAGTATATAACTTGGTTATCTGGTTTTTAGTTTTTCACTTGACTGGCCCTAAATCATGTGTTATCTAGGCAAGCCTACATTTATACAATAAAGTAAGCATTATCTCAGCTATTTTTATATCTTGTTATTTTTATCTTATTTCTTCATTTTTCAACATTTTATTTGGTTTGATGGTGTAGACTTGAGTTGACAAGTGTTGTATTTTGTGTGCTTGGTGTGTACTTTGTTTAGAGTTATCACAGGAATTTGTTATGAGTTCAAGCCTGGCAAACATTGAATAGTTTGTAAATACTGGTTTTCCTAACTTTTTATAACAATTTGTGTGATTATTTAGCAGTCAGTGTTTTTAGTGCATAGCCTCTAGCTGAAAGTCATAACCATTAGTTGTAAGCCATAGGCTTAGCTTTAAGCCATAGCAACTAGCTGTAAGCCATAGTCTCTAGCTGTAGGCTTTAGCAACTAGCTGGGAGCCTAGCCACTGGTTGTAAGTCATAAATACTAGCTGTAAGCCATAGCAACTAGCTGTAAGCCATAGCAACTAGCTGTAAGCCATAGAAACTAGCTGTAAGCCATTGTTTCTAGCCACTGGTTATTAGTCAAGTCATAGATATTAGCTGTAAGCCATAGCCTCTAGCTGTAGGCTTTAGCAACTAGCTGTAAGCCATAGCAACTAGCTGTAAGCCATAACAACTAGCTGTAAGCCATAGCCTCTAGCTGTAGCTAGCTGCTAAGAAAACTGTTGGTTCTAACCCACTGCTTGTGTTTCCCCACAGAGTATTGACAGTGTGATGGGATGGCAACTTTCTCCATGGGAAAACTTGATGCCATCTGTGCTCGTCTCAAGTCCTCCCAGCAGTTCCAGAAGGACACACGCCTGAAGAAGGACGAGCCTGATGTCTGGAGGGGCAGCAGTCAGGCCAAGAGAGGGCAGCACTACCCCCCTGCCCATGGGCTCAACTCTCCTAATGCCAGCAGCCTGGCTGATGAACTCCAGGCTCAAGCTGGCATTGTCTCCCCTCTCACAGCCAACAGCGCGGTGGTGCATCACATGACCAAAAGTGACAGTAGTATCCCCAAAAACAACAACAACAATGTCGAGGCTACAGACTACAACGGCGTTGCTGCAACAGTTCAGACTGCTGACTCTACAACAACTGATTCCATTGTCTCATCCACAACGTCTGACCCGCCTGTCTGTACCACTGCTGACCCGCCTGTCTGTAGCACAGGTGACCCGCCTGTCTTTAGCACAGGTGACCCGTCTGTCTGTACCACTGCTGACCCGCCTGTCTGCAGGATAGCTGACCCACCAGTAAGCAGCAGCAACACCAACAGCAACACCAACAGCAACACCAACAGCAACACCAACAGCAACAGCAACATTCCCAGCAGCTTTGAGCTGACTGACACTCTGCCACACACCCTTGCTGAGGTCAGTGACCAGACAAAACACCTGGCACCAGTTGACCTATTGACCTCCTCAGGTCTTCACCCAGGACCGTCTTTACACCTGAAATCCACCTTAAGTCCACCAGCTGACGGGACCCCACCCCCAGAAAACCATCCTGATATTACAGACAGTGGGGCTGTCCATGGCGCCACCTTTCCTTCTCCAGCCACCCCCGCTGGTGACACTAACACCTTTAGTAAAACACCTGTGTTTGATAATGAACCAACATCAACTTTAACCCTCTCACCACTGACCAGTGTCCACGTGTCATCCAGCCAACTGATAGAGAATTTGACATCTGGCTTTGACTGTGACAACGCTGACAACATTGAGACAGAGGTAGCTCAAAACTTGAACAACATTTTCAACGAGGCTTTTAATTTTTCAGACCAAAAGTTTTCTCTAGAAAATTCCCCGGAGAGCCTTGAACCAAAATTTGTTCTAGGATGTTCTAAAGACGTCAAAGATGTCGAACAACCTATTTCTCTAGCAAGCTGTTCAGAGCCTCAAAATATAGAGGAGAAGGATGCAATAGATTTCTCATTTCCTGGCTCTGTGTGTCCCCTAGTTTGTGATACTGTCACCCCTTATGTCTGTGGCTCACCGTCTAGACTGTGTGGGTCCCCCCCTACACCATGTGGGTCACCCTCTAGACCATCTGGGTCCCCCTCTAGACCATCTGGGTCCCCCTCTAGACCGTCTGGGTCCCCCTCTAGACTGTGTAAATCCCCCACCCCAAATGAGGCCCAGTCTGGCACCAACTCCCTGTCCAGCCTGGAACCACCAGCAGCTGCAGCTCTGGCCCCGGGGAGAAGGAAGAGTCGCAAGGCAACCAAGCCCCAGAGACAGGTGGCTGTGAAGCAGTTCCAGAGTCCAGTCCTGGGGCCAGACTTAACTGTCTTAACACCAGCAGCAGATGAAGAAACAATCATCTACAGCCCGCAGTCTGATGGCACCAACAGGTGTGAGCCTCAGACAGGTGAGACCCCTGGGACAGAAGGTCACCTGACCTGCCCTACACCCTCCCCACAAGACCCCAACCTCAGCATGAATACACCAGAAAGTGTGGATGAATTCCTCCAGTCTAAAGCTCACCTAAACTCAAGCAGCGGCAACCTTGAAGGTCAGACCATCTCTGACAAGACAACTGCTCATCCTCAGACAGAAAGTTCCCTCACCGCTCACCTTCTCTCAGAGGGTCCTCTCAGTCCTCCTGTTGAGTCAGATAGCCCTCCCACTGATACCCCAGACACTAAAGGCCTTGTGGACTTCGCACACAACACCATGAACGAGCTTCTGGGCATCTACGGGTTTGAAGGCTCGGACACAAAAAATATTTATTTAAGTCACATCAAAAACTTCCAGTCACCCCCGCCGGTGGGGGAGGATAAAAATGTGAGTCCCCCTGACATGTCAGCCCTGGATAGCAGCAAGCCAGCGCCTGGACCTTTCAGGAAGAGAGTTTATACCAGCCTGTCTCAGCCTGCTCACAGTAAGTCTTTTCTTGTTGGCTAGTTCACCCCAACATCTATTTACTCATAGACACGAACCTAATTTGCCAACCTGAGCATTAGCTCTCAACTCTTTTTGTTACAGATGTAACATAATCTGATAACATGAGTATTACCTCCCTTTGTTATAGATCCAACCAACAAGCCAACAAATGCATCAACGCCCACTGTTACTATAGATCTAACATAATCTGTCTACATAACTCCTGTTGTTATAGATTTACCATAATCTGCCAACATAAGCATTACCTCCCATTTTAATAGATTTAAAATAATCCTATGTAACTTCTATTGTTATAGATTTAACATAATGTCAATATAAGAATTACCTCCCCTTGTAATACATCTAACATACTCCACCAAATAAGCGTTACCTCCCCTTATCCACCTTGCTTAGAGTGTAGGTCACATGTGTTTAAAATACTTCTTCAGTGTGTTATTGCTGTGTACCATTCATGATTTCATGCCTATGTGACCATAGCTTACATGTACATGAATTCTTGGGACAAACTGATATACCAGTACACATAGCTTATATGTAACCTTGGATAAAATAACAAATTGTTTAAGACTGGATGCAATTTTATCATATGTTTGTAACCACCATCAGATATTTTCTACATATCCTTATGTAGAACCATTATAATATGTTGACATATCCTTATGTAGACACAACCACCATCGTATGTTGACATATCCTTATGTAGACACAACCACCATCATATGTTAACATATCCTTATGTAGACACAACCACCATCGTATGTTGACATATCCTTCACATAACCACCATCATATGTTGACATATCCTTATGTAGACACAACCACCATCATATGTTGACATATCCTTATGTAGACACAACCACCATCATATGTTAACATATCCTTATGTAGACACAACCACCATCGTATGTTGACATATCCTTATGTAGACACAACCACCATCGTATGTTGACATATCCTTATGTAGACACAACCACCATCGTATGTTGACATATCCTTATGTAGACACAACCACCATCGTATGTTGACATATCCTTCACATAACCACCATCATATGTTGACATATCCTTATGTAGACACAACCACCATCATATGTTAACATATCCTTATGTAGACACAACCACCATCATATGTTGACATATCCTTATGTAGACACAACCACCATCATATGTTGACATATCCTTATGTAGACACAACCACCACCATATGTTGACATATCCTTATGTAGACACAACCACCATCATATGTTGGCATATCCTTATGTAGACACAACCACCATCGTATGTTGACATATCCTTCACATAACCACCATCATATGTTGACATATCCTTATGTAGACACAACCACCATCATATGTTGACATATCCTTATGTAGACACAACCACCACCATATGTTGACATATCCTTATGTAGACACAACCACCATCATATGTTGACATATCCTTCACATAACCACCATCATATGTTGACATATCCTTATGTAGACACAACCACCATCATATGTTGACATATCCTTATGTAGACACAACCACCATCATATGTTGACATATCCTTATGTAGACACAACCACCATCATATGTTGACATATCCTTATGTAGACACAACCACCACCATATGTTGACATATCCTTATGTAGACACAACCACCATCATATGTTGGCATATCCTTATGTAGACACAACCACCATCATATGTTGACATATCCTTCACAGCACATTCTGTGACCTACATAATTTTGGCTGTTTCAACTAAAAAAAATTTTTTACATCCTGCCTGAATTAATTCTGCTTATATCTAGACACTTGAATCAGGTGTAATTGTTACATTAGCCAATCATTGATATATTTGTTAGTCAGTCTCTGGTGTATTTGTTACATTAGTCAGTTATTAGTGTATTTACATTAGATAATCATTGATATATTTGTTAGTCAGTCACTGGTGTATTTGATACTTTAATCAATCACTGGTATATTTGTTACATTTGTCAGTTATTAGTGTATTTACATTAGCCAATCATGTGTATATTTGTTACTTCAGCCAATTATGGTATATTTATTATGGAGCACCAACTTGATAGCTGTTGGTCTAAAAAAAATTATCTCTTTTAGCACCTTTACTTACTGACACCCCCCCCCCCACACACACACACACTTCCCATACACTCAGAACAAATATCAATTTAGAGGTTGGCCTGGTCGGGCCGGTACAGCTCATGGTCTAAGTCCCGAGTTCGAACCCCCGGGCAGATAATGCTCGATAGCTGAAGACAGCCACTCATCTACGAGAGAAAACTCCATAATAAAAAACTGCTGCCTTGTAGTTTGTTCCTGGGTGGCAATTGAAGCAGATCCAGAAAAGCAGCCTGAAATCGGAGTCACCGGCCTGTATGACGCATAACAAGTTGACACGTAATACTTAACTGTGTTGGACGAAATCCCTCCGAACATTACAATTAAGAACCAAGAAGGAGAAGATAGCACCCCACAGATCGTCACTTTAAGAACCTGTATGTTTACTTACATCACAACATACCTGTAAACTTTGCCTCACTATATAGATATCGATAAATTGATAATTGGCCGTAAAAGTACAATTCAGCTGTATGTAAAAAAAAAAATACGGGTGAGTGACATGACATTCAAGTAATTGACGTATTGTCCTAGGGCCTAGAGCCGACATCTAGTTGGACAACCTATAGCAAACATGCGCACATATAGATTTGGTTATGAGTTTTTTTTATGTAGGTCTAGGCCGGCGTGTAAATACAGTGAATGTGCTACACACGTCGGCGTATAAATAGACGGAATTTTTTCATTCTTTAAATCCCTACCATTCCATCCCTCTCCTAGTTTATATTTCTAGAGTAAAAGTCTCGCCACAATATATATATATATATATATATATATATATATATATATATATATATATATATATATATATATATATATATATATATAGTGTGTGTGTGTGTGTAACGGCTATCAAATCAATCTGTATCGAAACAATCGACGTCTAATCTAGAACCTACCTGTTTCTACACATTTCTCGCATGGTTGAGTCCCTAGAGTTCACGGTGAATGAACAGCAGTTATGCTAGTATGTCACACCACAGCTGTACCACATACAACTTCTCTGCCTCATATAATAGCATGACACGTGAAGCCATCTATACCAAGTCACCGGTACACAACATAGTTTTCTCTTCTTGGGAAGACTTTAATACTTTATATACTAATATATATATATATATATATATATATATATATATATATATATATATATATATATATATATATATATACCCTCAGACACATCCAGCGTGTACAGCCTTTTCTGAGATACTTGACAGACTGACACATTTGGCAGTGTTGATTTATTTTTCTCATCAATATATCACCCAATTAGTTTCTTGATGCCATACGTGTGTCGCATGGTTTACACGTGAAATCTTGTATTGCTGGGAGCCAGCGAGTCTCTCTATATGACTATCCGGTCCTTACCTCTTTCCTTTGTTTACAACCCTGAGCGACGGTCTTTTCAAACTTATCAGATTTCATGGAATCAAGAACTAATTAATTTTTTTTTAAAAAAAACTAGCGCGTTACTTCCATTTTTAGCCTCAACCGTTCAAGGTCATATCAATTATTAATAAACCGTAATTAACCATTGGACCATCTTCGGTGAGATGGAATAAAATGTACAGACGGCTTCAATTAATACCCCCCCCCCCACCCGAATTATTTTGGTTTGTTCTGCCTACTACGTTACGTAGGTCACTGTGTTGATATAAAGATTGTCCCGACTACGTTACCTAGGTCATTGTGTTGATATAAGATTGTCCCGACTACGTTACGTAGGTCATTGTGTTGATATAAAGATTGTCCCGACTACGTTACGTAGGTCACTGTGTTGATGTAAGATTGTCCCGACTACGTTACCTAGGTCACTGTGTTGATGTAAGATTGTCCCGACTACGTTACCTAGGTCACTGTGTTGATGTAAGATGTCCCGACTACGTTACCTAGGTCATTGTGTTGATGTAAGATTGTCCCGACTACGTTACCTAGGTCACTGTGTTGATGTAAGATTGTCCCGACTACGTTACCTAGGTCACTGTGTTGATATAAAGATTGCTCCGACTACGTTACCTAGGTCATTGTGTTGATGTAAGATTGTCCCGACTACGTTACCTAGGTCACTGTGTTGATGTAAGATTGTCCCGACTACGTTACCTAGGTCATTGTGTTGATGTAAGATTGTCCCGACTACGTTACCTAGGTCATTGTGTTGATGTAAGATTGTCCCGACTACGTTACCTAGGTCACTGTGTTGATGTAAGATTGTCCCGACTACGTTACGTAGGTCAATGTGTTGATGTAAGATTGTCCCGACTACGTTACCTAGGTCACTGTGTTGATGTAAGATTGTCCCGACTACGTTACGTAGGTCACTGTGTTGATGTAAGATTGTCCCGACTACGTTACCTAGGTCACTGTGTTGATGTAAGATGTCCCGACTACGTTACCTAGGTCACTGTGTTGATGTAAGATTGTCCCGACTACGTTACCTAGGTCACTGTGTTGATGTAAGATTGTCCCGACTACGTTACCTAGGTCACTGTGTTGATGTAAGATTGTCCCGACTACGTTACCTAGGTTACTTTTATGTTGCCTACAATCTCATAATATGTTACCTACAATCATGTAATGTGTTACCAGAGTTACCTACAATCATACCAAGGATATTCCACGCAACGAATCCATCAGCTGTCCACCACACACATAAATGAGTCTATGGACCATATTTCTATCTTTGGGTCCACAGTTAGATGTCGTTAAGGTGTTGTGGTGACGGAATGGTGTTCTGGCCGTGAGTGGTATGGTGACGGAATGGTGTTCTGGCTGTGAGTGGTGTGGTGACGGAATGGTGTTCTGGCCGTGAGTGGTGTGGTGACGGAATGATGTTCTGGCCGTGAGTGGTG